GTTGGAAGCTCTGTGTGACGTGTCTGCCTCCGCGAGCCGAAAGGAGAAACGGCGAAGATGAAGATAAATAGTGTATATGAAAAGTTGTATCAGATTGTAGGATATTCTCTCATTTTAGAAAAGCATTCAAAAATATGCATTATGTTATATACGTCTTAACAAGTGCATAATCCCGTCGACGCCAGGTTTTAGATTGGACTGCCCTTGATCACAGTTTCTTGTAGTGCGTGCTTTCAAGCAGACCGCGACTAAATAGGATTTAGATTCCTGCAGGGCTAATTGCATCATTTTACTGGATGGCACAATAGCTTGCTTGATACGATCGGTGTATGTAGAGCTGATACTACTTTTTATGCTTTAACAAAAAATGAAATATCCGATTCAGAGTGTAGGGCGGTGCAATATGCCGTAATATAACTTCAGAGTTTCGTGCTTATGCGATAGATGAAAATATGCTTTATACTGCAGGGCTGGGACGAACATAACAGCAGTAAAAGTTTTCTAGACTAGTTTCGTAAGCTCAGTATTTCACCAAGCCTCGTGTCTGCCATATACCATGTGGTATAAAAACGGGAACGAACACGCAAATGGAGAATAACTGATAGCAGAAATTTGCCTTCAGCGATGGGTGCCATTCGGAGGACCACCCTTTCGACCGAGACTGTCGCAGAAATTCTCACGTCAGTATCAGGAGCAAGTGGATCAAGATGAATAGAGAAAACCGAAAGGAAAGTTGCTGAATTTTAGTCATCGAATAAGACACGTAATCAAGCAGCCGCCAAATTCAATGCAGCCCACGCTGAATCTCTGTACAACTTTGAAGCAGCTACGCGATTTGTTGCCATGGTTATGCCACGACCGACAATAACGCAGTCATTACCATCCACTGCCACTGCTTCTTCGGTTGTACGCCAAATCTGTCCATTAGAATCACCGACGGCGGAAAGATGGACACATAAAATGACACAATCAATGGAATTAAAACTTGACGATTTACTGGTACCTGGCGTAACGTAAATAAAGCCAGGATCATCGATTGGACGCCTCTGGCAGATAAAACCCGCAACTAGGTCACTGTATTCCAAACAAAGGCGAATGGTCTCTATATGTATGAGACATGTTATAAAAATTGACAGCGCACAGAATGCTATGTACCTTTTTTATATTGGTCGCTTATGAGATTTCCGCGGGAGGACATTTCGAAAACAATAAGACATCCGACGTTCTTCTTTTTGCAGGGCTAAAAATTAAATATCAACATATGCAAAGCTAGTTCTACTCTGTTAAATGACCACATAAGAACCACAAGCTTGCGTCTTCATTGAGAGAGCTAGCTGTGCTGCGGAAATCGAAATTTACAAAGGAACTCGATTCACGTTTCTTTGCCTTACAGTAAATCGTGTAAGACTGAACGTCACAAAAAAGACGCTGCGCTGAGCAAAGTGGTGAGCCTCACACACATTCAATCATAATTTCACTTTTGAAATAACTGTGATAGGTTGCACTAATAACTAACAAGTAACTGGTAAAGAGGATAGGAGGCATGATGAGAAAACAACGCACACCCGGTCCTAACGGCGACTGTGGTCAACGTTCTTGTTATTAACTGTAGCTGAAAACTGAAATATGCATTAAAGCAGTTTATTTATACATAGCGCAAGCGATTAAGTTAATCAGTCGGATGACTCGCCGGTACTGAAATATCGACTTGTCTCTCACGAACGTTTTTCCGGGTTCGTTTCTGCAGTTGGTTGAGTGGTCGGCAGCTGTTGCGGCATTCGGAACTAAAGATTGGCCCACGCTATCTGTTAAGCAGTTTCGCGGTCAATGGCATCATAAAGCTTGTCCAATCCGCGCAGAGTTCGTATCCTTATCTGCGGACTAACTTATCTGTGTGACCAAATGGTTTAAAAATAAACCGTTTTTATACATTTTTTCAGTATGAAAACCAACGCATGAACAAGTTACTCTATCTTTGACTAACTGTAGTTAAAATTTCTTCTTATATGGCAAATTTACCTTCAAGTTAAAGCGGAATCCTTAATAACCTAGATAGTGCCTTATTTTTCCGACTGTTCTGAGGTTCAGGAAGGTCTGTCGCATTTATATTAACGGTTACACAATACATCATCTCTACAACATTTTCTGTCTCAATAGTGCTGTTTTCATTGGTCTGATTTGGAATATACATTAAATTATATGTACAGACTGATCTCTGAAGAGCAGCTAACCTGAACAACAGCTACACCATACCGACAGCAAATATCGCTAACAAAATTCGGTCTCCAAGTCTAAGTCTTGGACTCACAGCTAATTAACAGCTAATTTCGCCACCAGTAAGTTTCAGGCCGCAACAAAAGCAAGTACCTCACGAAGAGCTTCAAACAAGCCAGGCCCAGATATAGAGTGAACAGTAACGAAATCTGCCCAGTCGCTTATGTAAAATGGCCCGCTTTGAAACTGCAACGACGCCGTGGTGCCTATATCGCAAAATTTCCTAAAACCACGCAGCATGTAACACGTGAAACAGTAAACAAGAATATTCAGCTTAAATACAACAGAACAGCTCTATTCGATTATACTTATAACTGAATAACGCATCGATGCAGTTATAATATTATCATAATAACGACAGATATATTATTGAGCAAAAGTGATGAGCTCGCTCCCAAAAGGTTGATATTATGAAATACTAAGCATATTATTATTATTATGAAATATTATGGTGGACACGAGAGCGAAATTTGCAAACAACATCGCACGACGGTTTAAACAAATCCCAGCGATGACAAC